CCCCACCATGATGCCTCCTGTTACAAAAGGACAATAACTTCTAATAACTTGTTTAACTGTAAACTAAATGTTATAATTCATCCTACATCCACCCAACCGGTGGAGGCAGATGGCCGTCCCTCCCTGAGCCTGGTTCTGTCGGAGGTTTTTTTTCCCCTGCGGGGGTTTTCGGTTCCGTCCCACCAGCAGACTGCTGAAGCTTATAGAGAATCCAGATGTTTGGATTGTTGGGTGTTTCTGTCTCTGCCTTTTTTCAGCGCCATGAGATGACTTGTTGTTGTAAATATGCGCTATACGAATAAAACTGAATTGAATACACAACCGGCTGATGGCTGTACTGTCTCTGTTCAGGTGTATCAACAGGCTGAAGTGTGTTTGTCGGCGGTTGACGGTTTGAAGACGCCACTTTTCTGTTATGCAACAAAGCAGAGTTGGAACTTTGTGTTTGTCTGTTAAGGTGGAATGATTGAGACGCTGAAGTGGCCTTTACATTTTAAGGTGGTATGGCGGTTTAGCATCTGTCTGGTGAGATTATGCCGCTGGCTCTTAAGGCGGTATGACTGCTGCAGCTGGGTCAATGAGCCGTAACTAACCTGGAGATGAGAGTGTGAGGATGTTCTGCAGTAACTGAGCTCATACATTTCTGCATTCGTTCTGCTTTTTGAATTGATTGGTCATTAAATTCACTCAGTCCTGCTCCACCGGTGCTTTCGTCTTTGTTTCCTCTGAAGCTCGTCTCTGATATCTGGGTGAATGATTCGTCTTGTTTTTAAGTGTCTTCGTCAACACAGACGTTGTTTCATACATCTGGTCCAGTCTCAGCAGCCTTCTTGTAAATTTTAGTCTTCAGTGACACAAAGTCTGTATGTGACCTGAGAACCACAACAATAGGCTGAAGGTATCAGCAGCAGCTTCCAGGACTGAAGGACCTCCTCCCACCCAACATTCCAGCTTAGCTGAGCTCAGCTTCACTAAGCAACGACATCACTCAGCAATAAACCTCCTCCAAGGTCCTGAGACCCCACAAACAACCACACAACGAAGTGTATCGATGACGAACAACAGCTGGAAGAAGCACACAATGAAGGAGCAGCTGTCACACCGGCCTCTGCTGCCCTGCTGTCGCCACCACGAGCTGCTCTTCCAACAACAGGTCCAAGCCCGTCCCAGGCAGACAGGATCCTGATGACCACGATGCTTCAGGTACATGAAGGTTCTACAGACAGAGGCCCGGAGGAGGAGGAAAACAGAGCATTGAGCTCCAGCCACAGGCTCCGATATGTGGACAACACCTGGGTCAGAACCAGAACCACAGAAGTAGAACCTTCACAGAACTAATCGACTCAGTGGACAGAACCAACAAACTGTCCTTTTCAGACTGTGTTGAGGAAGATGGAAGTCGACAGAAAAGCTCCACACAAAGCAAAATGTGCTGTTTGATTGGAACACAAGGTGGGCTCATCAGAACCATGCAGAACAAGGATGAGAACGTCCTGACCAACACAGAGGGAGGGGAGAGGGAAACCTGTGGCTGTCGCAACTGGACCTTCATCAAATCAACGAAAACATCTGGAAAACACAAAACCCCAGCAGGCAGAGAAGAAGAACAAGCGGAACGTCGTCATGACGTGGACAGCTGGAGGTTCTGGAAAACGCTGAGACACAAACCGGTCGATCAAACAGCAAACAGCGGCTGTGCAGTGAAGAACACCACAGGAGGTCATAGAACATCTGAAACTTCCACCAGTCAGGAAGAACCTCAGATGAAGATGGAACATCTTCAAGAACCTAAAAGTAGTAATTAGAATAACTAAAAGAAGTCCAGTTGGTTCTGGTGAAGCTCAGAGGGTCACAGAGATAGAAGCCACCATATTTACTGTTGGTAGTTCTGAAGGCGCTGCTCATACTGGAGGGAAGATGTTGGATTTCAGGAGTCTCGTCAATTGAAAGATGATAAAGAAGCCTCTTTTATTTGTGGTCCACATTCTCTGTAAACGGACTCGGTTCTGGGTTCCTTCACTCAGCTCCTGTGTTATTTCATCTGCAGTAAAATAAATCTGCAGAAGTTCCAACAAACATCAGCGACCAGCGTGACGCTGAAGGAGACCAACATGAGACAGAATCTCAGGCAGCTTGTGAATTCTCTTCTTCTCTGGTTTCTAAGTGGATTTCTGCAGGTTTGCTGTCTGACTGTTGTGTAACCACTGCAGAGAAAACCTTCTGAAACCACAAACACTCTCCTGTCCATCGTCTGTATCTCCACACTCCCTCCATATATTTTTCCTCTTTCTATTCTGAGCGTCTGAATAAAGAAAATCCATTTGTCCGATTGCTCACACACACACACACGGCGTCAGATTTAACCCTGACCTGAAAACTGCTGAAATATATAAATAAGTGCAGAAAGCGGCTTTTAGAGCAGAACAGTGTGTCGGGGTTAAGATGGAGGACGGTGAAAGCGCCCCGAGGCGAGGTGCTGCCCTCCTCCCCCTCATGTCTCCTGCTTCTTCTTCTGAGGTTCAGTCACACAATAAAAACCTGCAGCGTTTCTTCTCCTCTGATTCAGACCTGAGCACACAAACATCTCTTTATTTACTGCAGAAACACATCAGGACAGAAAATAGCCGAGCAGCTCCTCGGCTTCACGCCGGCTCTGCACACAAACACCCCCAGAGACGCACAAATACACAACACACGACACAGAGAGACACAAACTCACACCAACAGCCACAAACAATAACAACAACCACAAACAATAACAACAGCCACAAACAACTAACAACAGCCACAAACAA